TTGTGGTTGTATCAGGCGTAGATGGCGGTGCTGTTGAGCGACTAGGGATATCCTGAACTGGTGATGCTACTACTTGATGTTGAGGCTAATACTCGGTTGCATACATACTCTCCTAAAGTGCTTCATGTGAAGGAGTAAAGCTATGGTGTTGTTGAATGGGAATACCAAGCTGGTTGTATAATGGTACACTCTCCCTTGTGTTCACTTGAGGACTGTAAACATTGTAGCTGTCATAGCATCTATCCTGGTAAGGCTCATGATGCACATCTTGTTGTTGCTGGATATATAATGCTTCAGCTTCTAAGTTGTAAGCATGACCAATTGCTGACTTCTTCTCCTTAACCTCTGGTGATGGATGCAGAGACTTCTCAAGCAACAAGTCTAGCTTAGCATTGATTGCTATCACATCCTGTTGTGTTTGGAGAAAATAAGCGTCAGTACTCCTCTTGTAGGTATCCTCATGTTCATCTGTGTAGTTGCCATTGCTCATTGCAAGGTTTTCAATCAGCTGCAAATCATTTTCAAGACGTGTACCCAAGAAGTGGCCGTTACTGACTGTGTCTAATAGCATTTTGAACCTTGGTGACATTCCTCTGTAAAATGTGCTGAGCAGTGACTCTGTTGAGAAACCATGATGAGGGCACCGCAAGGTGTAGCCTTGAAATCTTTCCCATGTTGTACATAATGGCTCGTTTGGTGATTGCTTGAAACCTGATATGTTCTTCCTTACTGTAGCTGTCCTGGTAGAAGAGTAAAACTTTGCAAGAAACACTCTTTTGCAATCATCCCAAGAACAAATTGATCCTCAAGGCAAAGATCTTTCCCACAAATGTGCACGATCACCAAGAGAGAAGGCAAATAACCTCAGTTTAAAACCATCTTCTATGACACCACTGATCTTTTGTATGCTGCAAATACTCTTAAAGCTGTCCAACTGATCAAGCGGATCCTCCATAGAAGTGCCATTGAAGCGGTTGGCTTGTACCATTGCAATCACACTGCTTTTGATCTCAAAGTGATGGTCTTGAGATGGTGGAGGAAGTTTACCTCTGCATCTAGTATGAAGGTAAGGAGCATCATGAGAACAAATGTGTTATGCTCTTCTAGCAATCTGAGGTTCTGGCCTATGTAACCTCTGAACTGGAGCTTCATCTTCTCTGAACTGAGTTTGATGAGCAGGTCTGTGATGGTGTTGATCAGCCATTGTACCTGAGAAAACAAAGCGAGAAAGGTAAAGTGATTAGTAAAGTAAAAGGTGGTTAAGTCCAAGCAAGAACCTAAACTCAATTATCTAAGCAGTCCTAGAACAGCAATGGCGCCAAATTGAAGAAGGACTTTTGCAAGTCTTAACTCAAGCCCTTTCAAATCAGATGTAGTATAGAAGAGGTTTAATCAATCCATCCAGGAGTTAGAATAAAAGAGATGCAAGGAACTTACTAAGCTTAACCAATATGATAAAAGTAAGATTATATAACAACCTAAGTGATCAAAGATGATATGCACAAGTGAAATGCAATCCTATCAAGACTAAAGCAAGTAATGCAATGAAAGGGAACTGAATGCAACAGAAACTGACAAGGCAAGGATCTAAATGCAACACAACTAAGGTAAACAAAGCAATGAAAGTGCAAGAACCAAAATGAATGCTAAATTCAATAACTTGAAATGCAAGGCAAGGAATGGAACACAAGCAAAGCAACTAAAAACAGAGAAATACATAACACAAGATGATTAAATGCAAAAAACAATAAAGTGCAGGTTCAAGGCTAGAGCAATGATGACTTGGGGATTACTTAGTATCAAACCTAGGGAAGTCAAGACCAATAACAAGCGAAGAACATGATCAAGCCACTAAATCAATCAATTTGTAAACTGAACAGAGATGTCTAAGTTAAGCACATGTAAGACCCACTTGTGATGGCGTATTTGTGCAAAACCAGCATGAAAACACAAGATTCTTATAGACTAACCATGCTACCTAAACGCCAATATAATCATCTAAGAGAATGTTCCTAACAAAGTTCTTTCAGATATTTAAACAAACACTTTTGATGCAGCAAACACCTAAAATCAGTTTCACCCTAAAAGAGTTAAGAAGCACTAAGAGCAACTAAGTTAAGTGATCTAAGCATGAATCAAACCAAAACTCCCTTAATTATCAACCAACCATCCCCAAATCTGCTCTAACCTTAAACTATATGAAACTACTCACAACACATCATAAAATCAACAGAAATGACAGATCAAACATGATCAAATAAGAACTAGAAGGAAATTAACAAAGGAAGTGCAAAATCTTATTAAAAAGATGATATTGATCAAAATCCCATAAAAATCTCTTTGTGGTTTCCCACAAGATCGAAAATAGGATCAAGAAGAAGATAAGTCCAAAAAAAAAAGATAAGCCAAAGGCTTAAATAGGTTTAAAAATAAGGTTTGACAAAAAAATAGAAAAAGTTAGTCAATTCTCGGCGTTGGCGCATTGTGGTGTACAGACGGATGTTCTGCTCGATATGCTTCCTCGATGCAGAATTCCCCTTAGTCTGGCAATAGGTTTCGGATTTTATCGGGCAAAATGTTGGGTGTTCTGCTCGATGCTGGACCCCGATACGTCCTGCATGAACTGATTTCAGTCCTTATTTACTTGAACCATAATATTGACTTGCTAATTATTTTGTTTTGTGTATTGAAAAGTGTTTTCATGGATTCAACATACATATTTAGACTTTCTTTTCCCTTTTCCACCACTCTTGCTAGTCCAAATAGATTACCTCTCTCTTAACCGTAACCTCCTTTCAAGCCAATGAATCTTTAGTGAGAGATTGTAAGATCTTTTCTTATGAATGAGCTTAATAAAAAGTGTTGGATTTAGAACTACAAAGGGAATCTACCATGTAGAATTAGCTTATCATTTTAAGCTAGATTAGGCTAAGTTGTTGGGGTTCAATGGGTAGTTTTAGTTTTTGTGTTTCAAGAGAAAAGAAGAGAGAAAAAGAGAACAAGTGGAGGAATGCAACATATGTTACCATGCGGAAGTTGGTTAAGTAAAGAAAAGAAAAAAAAAAGCTCTAAGAAAAAAAGAAATTGTGTAATCAATTCAACATCCAAAAGATGAGAAGCACCAGCAAAGTGAAAAATAGTCCATACAAAATAGAAGCCAACTCACCAAGAAGATTCAAAGAGGAACATGCATCCTCACAAAGAAGCTCCAAAGGAGAATGAAGAATGGTAAGGCAAGAGGATCACTTGATGAGTGGGGATCAAGCTAAGGCAAGAAGGAGCATGTGAAGGAACCAAAGGAGCAAAGGGAGTCTGTATCGAGGAGAACCGTATCAACATGCGTATCGGACATCACACTGACACACAACAACCAGAGAAGAATGGCTTCCTGCCAGCATTTCAGTATCAGCCATTTTCATCAAGCAGAAGCCGATATGGAAAGAGAGAAACTCTGTATCGACGTGCCATATCCAGATCTCAGCCGATATCAACCTCCTTCTCAGTCGACTTTGACTTTGGTCAACCCTTTGATTAAGAGTTTGACCAAGCTTTGATCCTTTTAAGCAAAACCTTATTTCTTTAGTTTTTAAGCTTTATCTTATCTTTTGAGCATAAAATCCTCTCTCTCTTTCTCTCTCTCTTTCTCTCTCTCTCTCTCTCTCTCTCTCTCTCTCTCTCTCTCTCTCTCTCTCTCCCTCTCTCTCTTATTCTTGAATGATTTAGTGAGATTAGGAGATTTATTTGCAATATTTTAGAGTTTTAATATAAATCTTTTATTTCTTGTTATTGATCATCTATCTATTGATTTTGACCATGTTTTCTTTCATCATTTGTCTAGATTTTGAGAGATCAACCATGATTTATGAATATTCATTTCTGGGTTTAAGGATGAGTTAGATCTAGGATGATCTAAGGCTTAAAACTTGATGCTTAGGTGTAGATGATGTTAGATCCTTCGTTATTTGGTGTTCTTAATGCTTGTCTTGCCTTGGTAATGTGAGATTCGAAACTAGGCTTTCTCTTGCATCAAAAGTGCTTGTTGAAACACCTGAACCAACCTTGTAATGAATTTACTTACCTAGCCCATAGGAATGGTTAATTAGTGAGTTCATTAGCTTTATAGAACTGTTTCTTTATGCTTGATGATGTCTTGATCACTTATGGGAATTAGATCTTGATTAGGATGTTGTCAAAGGAATTATTGTCATGATTCATTTACATGTTCTGAGTTCTATGCTAAAAGATAATGCCTTTGTTGATTGTTTGGACATCTTTTTAAGGATGAGGATCATCTTAGATCAATTACCTCATCCTAGAACCCTGATTTTCATAATTTCAATTCCTCTGTTATTTACTCTGTTTTTCTCTGTTTTGCTAGTTTGAGAATTGAGTTTACTTGCTTAATTCGCTGCTTATTATCATTGTCCATTTGGCTCTTTTATATTTGGTGATCACTTAGGTTGTTAGCTTAAAAACAAACCTTCTTTTCTTAGCTTAACTCACTGAATTTCATGTATTCTTTGTGCAACAACTCCCCCCCCCTATTTGGATTGATAAAAGACCTTATGCTATACTAAATCTGATTAGTAGTTGGGTTGATTGCTTAGTAGCTGTAAAAACCTGCTTATCATCCTAGTGTGCAACGAGGATGTTGCACTTAGTGAGTGGAGGTGAATTGTAATATTCTGATTTCACTAATATGAATGTATATGTGGAAAGACCTAAGAGAATTGATTTTGCTACCTATGTCACTAAAGTGTACTTATATTTTTGGTTACTGGTTCCAAGATAATTTCATAGTTAAGCGTGCTTGAGCAAGAGTGGGACTAGGATGAGTGACATATCGTAAATAAATTTTCTTTTAGAGTATTTAAATCAATTTAAATCCAGTTTGTTGATATAATCTCTAAAAATAAGCAAATCTTTTCCATCTAAATTTGCTAAAACTCACGAAACTGAAGATAACTGTATCAAATTCTATTACAACTGAATAAATAAGAATGTTGTGAATCTAGATCAACCATCATCAGGCATAGCTGCAGCGTGCAGGTATATGCTGTCCCTACTATTATTGTAGAGTAATTATCGTGCTCTTTGGTTCAATCCCTATATGTGGCCGTCTGGTCAGAAGGGAACAATATTAGTGATTCCTTCTGGATCAAGTTTCTACCATACTCTTTTGATTTTCAATGATTTTCACAATGCATATGAGAAATGTTGTTGGAAAACCGATGGTGTCTAAAGCAGGGGAGCTGGTGTGCATGTTGGTTTCATGTGCATGAAGGTCTGGTAGTACTTTCACCTGTGTGCTCTAAAATAAGCGTAGTCAAGTCACTCCTATAATATTTTGTTGTTTACTTTATTCAGGACCTGCATCTTCACATTGAAGAAATTGAGGAACTGTGGACGGAATTTCCCAAGACAGTTGTTCTACTAGACCACATTGGATTCTGCAAAGTACCAGAGTGAGTTGTCTTTTGCTATTCTGAGAAAGAATCTAGCCCCCCTGCAATTTCGAAACAATATATTACTGATATTCATGCTTTCATCAACCTGCAAAAATGGTGAGGCAGAGCTTGCTTATACTTAACTCGTGAAGCTCTCTAGATTTCCCACATGTGAAAAGGAAAAACTTTACTTTTTAGATTTCAAATTCTCACTAGCTCACATATCATACAAGGCTGATGAAAGAATATTGAAACAAGCATGTATATGTAAAAATAGTGCTCTATTCAGGCTATTAAGAACCAGTTTTCCATATTATGACCTATCGCCTCTTCTATCTCAATTTGTGTCCAATTTTGGGGAAAATCGTGTCATGTGGGGCAGGTAAACTTACTTATTCTACCTTGATTTCCCACATAACCATAAAAAAACAAAAAACTTTTACATGAACTAACAATACATGACCATGACCATCTATGGATTGGCTGCAATGACTTCCCATTTGTTGTTCTTGAATGTGGATACAAAGAAGCTGTGACTATTATTGCAAAACAATCATCTTTGTTAAGTTCTGAGATGGACTGGATTATGGGGAAGACTGTGATGCATCGTTTCCCTGGATAATGGGTTCTTCCTTGAGAGGTTTCTCAGAAGTAATAGGTTGCATGAGGATGAGATAAACAAGCAAACAATGGAGTTATATATCATTAGAGACACATAACTTTTGTATTACCAAGCTACAATAAATGTATACCAGTGTTTCAAAGCTTGAAACATGCTGCTTACAACTATAATGGTTCATTATGAGATTATGGAGGGCCTGGAAGCTGATGCCTAGGTTAATAATGCTTTGATAGACAATTTTTTCCACAATAGATTTGATTTAAGAATCGTTTTGGCATGTTCAGTGAGGTGATGTGATCATTTAGAAATTGATCATTGGTAGCTTTGTTGGGACATTTATGAGCGCTTGATCTTTTAAAAGGGAGAAAAAAACTGAACAAGTTTGGGATAATTACTAAGAATCTGAGGTTGTGGGGACTATCATGTCTTTTCACGCTCACATTTGAAACTTGAAGGATGGAGGTTGTGAACTTGCGGTGACTACCGTTAGCATTCAGATGGTTGAGAAAACAAAGAGATAACAAGGCATGAGCCGTTTTTGGATACAAAGAAAAAACAAAAAAAAAGTTTGCCGAAAAGCCGTTTGTGGAAAACGTACACAAATGCAAGTTTGATTACAAGAAAAAACGCTCATGTGGTAGCATAATGAGTTTCACTCTTATTAAAAAAATATTAAGGATAAGGAAAAGGGAGCAGCGTGGGAGTGGGACAGAGACCCTTATCAGTCATCGAAAGCTAGGGATTATTATTGTTGATCTTGGAGACAAGATCACCATCAAATAAAAGATTTCCAACACAATCTCATAAATGTCATGCTACTGGTGGATTCTCATATATATGCAAACGCTAACTAGCGTTCAATGTAACATGTTTATTTATTGAGTTATATCCCTATTATCCTCAATTTCTTTGGGGCCAGAGAAATATAAACACATCTATTGCGTTATGGTTGTATTTTCCCCCTACAATAGGATGAGATACAAATGACACGGATGTGGAGTTGATTTTCATGAAATATTTTATTCTTTTTTTTTTCATCAACTTCACCATGTATTAATATTAATTTCCAAAAAGATTGGACTCGAGAGCCAGCCATTCTGGAACGATCGAGTTTACATAGGAAAACGGTAACCTCGTGCTTGAGTACTCTTCGCGAGATAATTAGCATGGACATTTCGTAATCTAGGGATAAAACTTATGGTAACTTGTTGAAACAATTCCTTTAAGTATGAAAACTCCTCTAATTCTGTCTCGAAAGCTGGCCATTCTTCCTCCTCTTCAATCATCTTTACCAGTCGTAAACAGTCAATCTCGAGGTGTATAGATCGAAATTGGAGGTATGCAGTTGCCTTCATGGCTTCGAGGATAGCTTCAAACTCTCCGTGTAGAGGGGATTGCCTATTCTCTTGTGCCCAGAGCCCGAGTAATCATTGTCCTTCCCCTGTTTCCAAGATAAAACCACCTCCGTACAAATCTGCTCCCCGTATCCATGACGCGTCTACTTGGCATCGCAGGTAGGCATGTGGAGAGTCGGTACTTACTGTTTGGGTTTGCTGAGAGTTTATCTTTACACTTGCTTCTTCCGTTGTTCCTACTACCTGAGCAACTTTCCAGGATTCAGCTTCGTGTACAGCGATCTCCAGTGTCTCTGTGGAAAGTATCTCTTTGTCATTAAAAACTTTCTCATTCCTTGCCTTCCAGATATACCATGCAATCCAAGGGAAGGTCTCCAGAATCCTCTCTGGGTTCCCTTGTTCTCTTAATCGTTCCAGGAGAAAAGCTAGGTTCTGAGAGACAGATGAGCACGGGAAAACCCCTGGAATTGATGGGATATCGCTGAGGGCCCACGTCTGTAGGGCTGGTGGGCATTCAAACAGGACATAATTTATTGTTTCTTCCTCCACTCCACATCGTTGCATTGTCTATCAGTACCGCAGTGGCGGTTTGCAAGTTGATGACTTGTCGCTAAGAACCCGGATAGGGCTTGCCATAAAAAGTGCTTCAGCTTTCTCGATGTTTTAATGGACCATATCTTGTTCTTAAGGGGATTAAAGCTTGGCTCATTTATCTGTTGAGTATTCCCTTCCTCCTTCAAATCCAGAGCTACTTCATATCCCGTTCTCACGGAATAGCTGCCTGATTTAGTGTAGGCCCATACCAGACGATCAGGTTTATATACTCTGCTTGGCCTGATACTCTTTATACGTGGAATATCCTCTGGATCTATCAGCTGCTCCAGCCGGTCCACTCTCCACCTTGCCGTGTCTGGATCTATCAAATGGTGCACGTATAGGTCCGGATTAAGGTCTTGGGCAAGTCCTAATGCCGGTCGGGGTGGGGTTACTGGTAGCCAATTGTCATACCAAACTCTGGTACATATACCCGAATTGATAGAAAAGCGCATCCCCATTTGTAGGATCTTTTTGGCTGCTATCATGCTCCTCCAACCAAGTGAGGGATTATTGGCTCTCTCAGCCTCCAGTGGTTCCGAGAATCTGTAGTAGCGGGCTCTCATCACTTTTGCCAGAAGAGACGAGGGGAATTGGATTAATCTCCACAGCTGCTTTGCCAAAAGAGCCAGGTTGAAATATTTGAGATCGCGGAATCCCAGCCCCCCTTTCTCATGGCTGATGCAGATTTTCTCCCATGCTACCCAATGCATACCTCTATTCAGTCCTTTGGTGCTCCACCAGAACTTTGCTATTGCACCCTGAAGTTTCTTAATGAGGTCTTGGGAGAGTAAGAAGCAGGACATGACATAAGTCGGTAGTGCTTGTGCTACCGACTTAACAGAACTTATTGGGTGAGCTGTCTCTGCTTTGCAGAAGAAAAGGCTATCATCTGCAAAGAGAAGATGTGATATAGGTGGGCAGGTCTGAGCCACTTTTAGCCCTGTGATCTTTCCTTCTGCTTCTGCTCCCTTAATTTGGGCAATCAAGGCTTCCGTCAGGATGATGAAGAGGAAAGGAGAGAGTGGGTCTCCCTGTCGCAGGCCCCTTGAAGGAAGGATCTTTCCTTTGGCTTCGCCGTTAAGTAGGACTTGGTAGGAGACCGAGAAAATACACTTTAACATCCAATCGACCCATTTTGTGTTAAACCCCATTTTCAGCATAAGAGCTTTCAGGAATCCCCACTCCACCCGATCATATGCTTTGCTCATATCGGTCTTTATAGCCACAAATTTTGATTTGCACATTGGGTTAGTCTGAAGAGCATGGAAGGCTTCTTGGGCCACAATATGTTATCTGTAATGAGGCGTCTAGCTACGAAAGCTGATTGTGTCTCCGAAATCAATTTTGGGAGGAATCTCTTTAGGCGCATACTCAGGATCTTGGATATTATCTTGTAGCTGACATTACAGAGACTGATAGGCCGAAACTGCGCCATCTCTGCAGGTTGTTCGGTCTTCGGGATAAGACAGATGTTCGTTTGGTTGAGCTTTGGGTCTAGCATATCCGAGCTGAAAAAGTCTTTGACCATTAGAATGACATCTTTTGATAAAACCTCCCAGAATTTTTGGTAGAAAACACTAGTCATTCCATCTGGCCCTGGGGCTTTATCGGGATTGATAGCAAATACCGCTTTTTTAATCTCATCATCCGATGGAAGTCTTGTCAGGGAATCATTAATCTGGCCTGTAACTTTGGTCGGGACATGCCTGAGGACATCTTCAAAGTCTACTGGATTTGAGGAGGAGAACAGCTGTTGGAAATAGTCTGTAGCAACTTTTTGCATTCCTTGTTCTGTCTCGATCCAAGAGCCATTAGCGTTTTTTAGCTTAGAGATCCGGTTCCTTGCTCTCCTTTGCTTGGTCGTCGCATGAAAGAATTTTGTGTTCCGATCCCCTTCCCTCAGCCAGTTCGCTCGGCTTTTTTGTTTCTAGTAGAGTTCTTCCTCCCGAAAGGCATTGCATAAATTCCATTTTAAAGATAACAACTCGTCATTGGTGACGGAATCATCCTGTTGGGCAGCTTCTAATTTTTCCTTGATCTCTTCAATCTTTTTAATGGTATTTGAAGGATTTAAGCATCTCCAAGCAGAAATAGCTTTCTGGCTGTTGCCTATTTTGGAAGACAGGGCGTATTTCTCGGTTTCATTATGTGATCCCCACCCATCAATGATTGCTTCGAGCAGACCTTCCTTCCCGAGCCACCGTTTATCAAATTTAAAGCCTTTTCGAATACTGCTCTTCCTGGATTGAATTCGGGATAGGATTGGTCTATGATCCGAGCCCCAAAGTTTTAAATACTCCACATTAGTGTGGGAAAAGCAGTGGTGCCATTCTTCGTTCCCGATGGACCGATCTAGCTTACATTTTACCTTGCCACAGCTTCTATTCCCGATCCAGGAAAAGCTCTATCCTTTGGCTGGGAACTTGATCATCCCACAATTTGCCAACATTGAGTTGAAGGGTAAGAAGGATGCATCAGCTCGTTTTCTGCCTCCTTTCTTCTCATGGTTCCCAGTTAGCTCATTAAAGTCTCCAGACATAAACCATGGTCCTTGTCCGGTCGTGCTTATCCTTGTCAGGCGTTCCCACACTTGTTCTCGGTACTCAAAGACCGGATCTCCATAAACAAAAGTCATGAACACTTGTTGCCCTTCAATCGTTGCTTGGATATCAATCAAACGATTATTGGAAAACAGAATTTTAACCTCAAAAGAATCAAAATAAAAAAAGAGCAAGTCCCCCGCTTCTGCCTTCCGGCTCCACGGTGAACACTTTATTATAACCAAAAGAAAGTTGCAAGTTTTGCATAAAAGAAAAGGTGTTTTTAGTTTCTGAAAGAAAAAAAAAAGAAGGAGAAAAACAACAGTGCAGCTCTCTAAGGTGTTGTTTGGTCAGATAGGCGCCTCACCTTGACAATTCCATGCAATTGTATTCATATCTTCTTACTGGGTGGTTTCTGAGGCCCCACCAAACCTGAAAAAGCAGCAGACTTCTTGCTTAGAGCAGAAGAAAACACCTCATGACGAGGGATCTGTGATTTACGAGAGGG